TGTCATTTCTAGGTTTTTGTTAATATTTTCCTTTTGGTAAACCTTGTATTTTTACCTTTTTTTCCCCCTTAAACTTCTTGGAGAAGATTGTTGAAGGATGGATTTATACCTCCTTTATGTGCAGGTCTTTCAGTTTGATGTACAAAAAAGGAAATTGCCACCATAATACTGTTGATGAGTCTCCACTGGGAATTTAACACACAGATGTATAGACACATCAACGTGATAAGATAGCTTTCAGCTGGTCTCCCATTCAGTTGCCATGTAGGATTAGGTATGGGTTGTTTACATTCTGACTTGAATATTCAAAGAGGCAACAAAATGTTTTTTGAGGGCAGCCCCAGTTGCGCAGCAGTTTAGCGCCGCCTGCAGCCCAGGGCATGATCCTGGAGACCCTGGCTCGAGTCCCACGTCAGGCTCCTTGCATGGCGCCTTCTTCTCCCTCTGCCTGTGTCTCTGCCTCTCACTCTCTCTGTCTCTATGAATAAATAAAATCTTTTTTTAAAAAATGTTTTTTGAATTACTGAATAAAGCCACGTGTACTATATAAATTTTCCTTAATGGGGAAAATGAGTTGGTAACTCATTTAACTACCTGTTAATTTTGGGTTTTCTCCTCTTAGGCTTCCAAGAACAAAACACTTGTTGAACGTCATCAATGAAAACTTTGGCACCCTAGCCTTCTGCCGCAGATGGCTGGATCGCTTGGGAGAAAGTAAATACTTGATGGCTCTGAAGAATCTGTGTGACTTGGGCATTGTAGATCCATATCCACCATTATGTGACATTAAAGGATCATATACAGCGCAGTTTGAACATACCATACTGTTGCGTCCAACGTGTAAAGAAGTTGTCAGCAGAGGAGATGACTATTAAACTTAGTCCAAAGCCGCCTCAACATCTTTTATTTTCTAAGCTTTGTTGGAATACATTATACCAGAAGTAATTTGCAACATGTTGTCTGTTTAACAGTGGACCTATGTAATGCTTTTATCCATGTTTAAAAAGGAAGGAATTTGATCAAAGGCAAACCATCTGATGTAATTAGTCAAGGAAAAAGCTTTCAGGACTTTCAAATGTTAACTGTTTTTCCCATCTAGGAAATGCTATAAAGCTCAAATTAGTTAGGAATGACTTATACATTTTTTTGTTTTGAACACTTAAGAGATGCTTTTCAGATATTTATATTGCCATATTCTTAATTGAATGCTTTGAATGACTACATCCAATTCTGCACCTATACCCTCTGGTATTGCTTTTTAACCTTCCTGGAATCCATTTTCTAAAAAATAAAGACATTTTCAGATCTGAGAGCTATATTTCAATGTCTGTGGTTATAATTCTGCACAGTAAATAGCTAAGCATGTAGGGAAATTGTAGAGCCTTTTATCTAGATTGTAAACCTCTACACTGAAACTTCTGGCATAGTGGCTAAAACAAGATTTATACATGCATAAAATTGGAGACTCTTCATAATATAGAGCTTTAGGAATAGTTTATTTTCTTTTCCAAACCATGTTATAGTCTTTGTCTTTCATTTTTTTTCCCTGACATTGGAAAGATTAATTGAAACATGACCTAGTAGGAACATTGTACCAGCTTGAAACCTTGACTTGGTTAAAATTTTAACATTTAGATCTATTGTCCAGTGGTGGTATTTATCAGGAAATGTGTTTACTCAGTAAACCAAAAGGGCATTTGAAACTACAAATACTAAAACAGGGTAACTTCCTGTACTTGGATCATTCTCTAGTTAGAAGAGTTTAATTGAATCATTAGGCTTTTTCATTAATGAACCAAATTCTTTTAACACTTGACTGGCTTGAATTCAAAACTATGGGTGGCATTTCAGGGAGTGAAGTTACAGTAACACTTATGGCAGCTAAGTGCATAAGTTGAATGTAAGATGCCTAATACTTTTGAACTGAGTCCCACTATAGGTTCTTAAACAAATTGCTTGAATTCTTTGTAACTGATTTGTTGGTAATGTTCCAACCTAATTTCAAAATTGTTTATGTACCAAGGTAAAGCCTTAATCTGTATATGCTTTAGCACAGTAAGATTCACTGCCTCTGGGATGCTGTTTAGTTTGTATTTTGTTTAACATTTTTCTCATAGGAATTAAAACCGGACTTCTGTACTTAGATCACTTATACATTAAAAAGCTGCTCTTTCAGCATTAGAGCTATAAATGAATGTTACCTGGTGGGATAAACAGTCTAGTTTTTAGCTATATGAGCCATGTTTATTATGGTGCTAATGTTCAATAGCTACTTTTGGATTATTTTCTCCATTTTCTGTGATGTGCTTAGTGGCAGAGCTCACCAATTCGTGCTTGGACATGTTACAGGGCTTGTGCCCTCCAGCTAGTTCTTTTGGGGTTCTGAATCCATATCTTTTTGATGTGTTTTGGTGGGAGACAGAAAGTATCTTGAAAAAAAAAAAAGAAAAAAAAGTATCTTGATTTCTAAGCTAAAGAGTTTTCAAATGACCTTATGAGTGAAGAATTTTGGAGCTTTATAAGACCTCTTTAGCAGTAGTCATCTCAAACCAGTTAGGAGCTCCAAGCTCCCCTCTCAGGTAACTGTCACAAGCAGTAGCATCACTTGCAAGCCCCTGGAATAGCTGGAAGGAATATGATCTTGTAAATAGGAAAGATGTCACTTAAAATTGTATTGTTTACCTACTAGCCATGTATCTCTCGAAATCATTTTGTCATGTTTACAATGATGTACCTTTTTGGTAACAAATTATTAGTTTGATGTTTAACAAATAGTGCCTTTAGTAAATTATTTTACAAACAAAACATGTTGTTTTTTGTTAGATCAACTTAGCTGAATGTAGAAGTCTACACTGAGATACACAATAAGAAATCTAAGTTTCTGTTCATTGGCTAGGTTTTAGTTTTGTCTTAAGTCTATTTAATTTTATATCAATTTTAGGTTTGTAGCAAAATTGAACAGCAAGTACAGAGTTCTCATATACCTTCTTGACCTCACACACACACACACACACACACACACACACACAGCCTCCTCCATAGGCTTTGGGTTTGAGGGATTAAAAAGTAAAAGCCTAAGGCACTTTCATATATTTTTATATTGAAATTAAGTACTGAAATAAGCAACTTATACTATTATAAACAGCAAAGCTTTCAGAGTGGTTTTAAAATTATGTCCCTAAAATTAGGTGCTAGAGTATACAGCAGTTAACCCACGTATAAAGTAATCCTTAAAGTTAAAAAAGGCTAGACTCTAGTATCTTGAACACATAAATCTTTAATGAGGTATAATTATGTTAACAGTTGAGGTAACTTTGCATAGGTATTTAAATGAACGATTTTTTAAACTTCAGCCATTTAATACTCAAGCTATATATTTGGCACAAATGATTTGTTCAAAGATAAACTCTCATTGCACTTCATGATCAGCTGCCCAATGACTTGCTCTCTGAAATTTAAGGAAAATTTGCTAACAAAGGTCCTTTTCAAGCTTATACTTAATAGATGATTACTAGCAGAGAATAACACTCTGTAGGATATGATCTTTCATTAAGATTTCAACCTGCGTGCAGCCTGGGTGGCTCAGCGGTTTAGCGCTGCCTTCAGCCCAGGGTGTGATCCTGGAAACCTGGAATCGAGTCCCACGTCAGGTTTCCTGCATGGAGCCTGCTTATCCCTCTGCCTGTGTCTCTGCCTCTCTCTCTCTCTCTCTCTCTCTCTCTCTGTCTGTCTCATGAATGAATAAAATCCTTAAAAAAAAAAAAAAAGATTTCAACCTGCAAGAAAACCCATTTAATAAAGGAAAAAATGATCTTCCAGTGGTTAACACTGAGCTAAGATGTTAAATAGCTGATCTATAGAGGTTAATGGATAATTAGCAGCAGTAGGATTTTAAAGAGATCTAGTGAGATTATTAGGGAAGAGCAAAGAGTGTGTCATGCTATATTTTAAAAAATTACCTAAACTTGCACTCTATTAAAGTAAGGGCCCAGTGCTTGACTATCTGAGGTTCCTAGTCTTCACATAATCAGAGCAAAAGTTGTCCAAGCCTTTAGTTATTTAGAAATAAGAGATGCTGAACATGTTGCCAGTTGCCAATTTTGAACAATTATTTTCTCTGTCCTATGCAATTTTTATCTCCAAGATTTCTTCCTTTAAAAATCTCAAGGTAGGATATGGTACAAAGCTTTTTTTAAGAGATTAATGTTAAACATATCAAATGAACTATTCAAGTTAAACAGTACTTATATATCATAATACGCTGCTGAATTCAGATTTTCGGTAAGACTTTATTAGATTCTGGACAAACCTGTTTGTTGCCAGACAAATCATCATTATAAATCCCAGCCATCGTTTTCATGTCCACAGTACTGAAGTAATTTAGACATACTATTTATAAAGCTGTCATTTTCATCTGTATAAAGTTGGACCATGCCAAATAAAGAACAATTATTAAAACTTAATAAATTTTTGGAAAAATAGAAGTTCCATTAGCCAAAGTAATGTCTATTCTGAGCCCTGTAACACACAAAGCGTCAGGAATATCAATTAGTGTAATTGATGAGTATTTAGGTGATACCTTGATAGTTCACAATGAATGTAGTAGTTTAACTCCCTTCAAGGGGCAAAAGTAACTTCAGGTATGCAAATGGCCTGAAAGAAATTTTTTTTGGTATGACTATCAGTGAAGAAAGTATCTAATTAAGAATTTGTATAGAAAATACCTACGAAAGATAAATAAATGTATAAAATGATGCCACCTGAACTTCGGTAAAAGATTACACAAATTCATGATCTGAGCCAATTTAGACATCAAAATATAAAAGAGGTAATGCCGTCTGAAGTAAACACTAAAAGTTTAAAACTCTGAAGTACTTGAAAAAAGTTGTGTTACTTGCTGTCATTGATAGTACATATTTATGCTAACCTTGTCTCTGTAAAAAGAGCTTTGTTGTAGATACAAAATGTATAAACAGTGCACTGATTCCTAGGTAAAAAAACAAGCTCAAAATTGTAAGCCCTTTTAAAAAGTATATATAAAATCACAAGAAGAAAGCCCCACTGTCTTTGGATCAGCTTAGGATTTCATTAGAAGAGGTATCAGCTTCTTCATTGGGATGTTGGCTACCAGACAGGAGTTCTGGAGGCAAGAGTTTAGAATGTCCATTCTCAGTAACTCGCTGGGTATAAAACAAGATATAAGCTTGGGCCTTGCATACTTCATCCATAGTGCACATGCTTAGCTTGGAATCATTGCAGTGTACCCAGAACCCTAGAGTGAAGCACAGAAATATACCTTAGGGTTTATAAAATAACTAAAAGTTTCAAGTATAAATTAAAATGGATTTAGGGGTATTAGTTTCAGTGCGAGTTAAGTTTCTTTGAGGAGAAAATAATTATCTAGCCAATTTACTTTTATTACTGAGAAATACAGCTTGGGCTGTATGTTATTCTGGAATTGTTTGCCTTTATTCTAGAAGTAAATCTGAAGTTTAAAAATCTGATTAGTTCATTTGACACAACCTTTAATTCTAGGTATAATCTTGCCAGTTAATGCTTCTACTGCTAATCATACTGTAAAACAAATAATGTACAACTCACTCTTGGTAGTTCATTGTTAAATTAATTGCCTTCATGGGTTATGTGGGCTTTCTGTCCACGCCCCTTTTTTGGTACAAACGGGGAGGCTCAGTTTTCGTTCAGCAGTAGTTAAGGAAAGGGGAGATAAAAAGTGAAACCTAAATCACTTGTGCTACCTATGAAGACTGTCCTTGAAGTTCCATGGAGGCAGTAAGGGGAAGTGAGTTTTGTTAAAACCTGAACCCAGAGTTTATTCTAAATATGTGATTCCCCAGTTCACTTAGATGCTCTGTTCTCTAACAAAGATAATTAGAGGAAATCAGTGAATAGAGGACTTGCCCTTAGAAATGTGCTTGTAAGATAGCACTGACTTAATTAATGTGACCACCCTTATTATCCTATCGCTATAGCCTTTGAAAGTCAAAACTACTATCCTGCAGAATATAGCCCATTTTCTGCACAAATCCTTGTTTTTTTATTAACTGCAGAAGTATTCTTGGAAAAAAACAAAAGGTCATGTGGCTTCACTAAGTGGCCAATATAGAAATCATAAAGTCTAAATTCTAGCTTCCAAGTCTGACCCAAGATAAAATACTTTTCCCCATCTATACCTCCTTCAGAATTATAGCAGTAGGCAGTGTAGTGTCCTGAGCCAAATCCTTTCCCATGGTGCATTACTACAGCAGATAAATCATAGATAAAACATTCTGGTCTGAGGGATTTCAGGGATTCCCTGCAGCAATAAGGTTCCATGTTTAAGATTTCTTCAAAGCCAACATGAACACCAATTTTCTCTCGGTTATTACGTCCTGACCACCTGTGAACAAACCAGGGTAAAATTATCAAAAAGTGTACTAGGTTCAGACAGTCACAATAATAGACTTAGGCCTCAGTATAGAATACAAAGTATCATATGTAAAATAATGTAATTATAAAATCCTTTTTATGCTGAAGTGGGCTATAAATGGAAGAATTTAGGTTTATTAAACAGGTCTGATTAGGTTTTAAAATATCTGCCTTCTGGGATCCCTGGGTGGTGCAGTGGTTTTCCGTCTGCCTTTGGCCCAGAGCGCAATCCTGGAGACCGGGGATCGAGTCCCACATCGGGCTCCCTGCAGGGCGCCTGCTTCTCCCTCTGCCTGTGTCTCTGCCTCTCTCTCCCTATGTCTATCACGAATAAATAAATAAAATCTTTAAAAAAAAAATCTGCCTTCTGTAGTTAGATGATAATATAGGAAGAAAATGAACTTTTCATCAAAGGAAATTATGGCCCTATAGCAGTTTCCCCCTTCTAATAGATTAATTCAAGGTACTAATGGGTTTTTAATTCTCTGTTGCCTTGTCACACCATGAGGAGGCTACCCAGAAGCTAGAATTTGTTCTTGTGAGACATAATCTGGACCTTCTTGGCCAGATTTGGGGAAAAAGCAGGACAAAACAAGGCACTTCTAATTTCAGAACGCTTGAGAGCTCTTCTAAGGGGGGAAAAAAAAAAGGAACTGGGACCCTGCACTGTACTCACTAGGGACAGACATAAATAATGCCTCTGTACTGTCATTTGCTCAGTCTGATGGTCACGCTTCCTGATACTGGACCAAAGCATAGCAAGCAATGTTTTCATCATACACATTGTATGAGCTGGTGCTACAGGGGAAAATAATGTGTTGTTCAAGAAATTGTAATGCAGCTTGGTATGTGGTGGTGAAGAGACTAAAGATATACATAGATGAAAATATGATAGCATTAAAGCATAAAACATGAAGCTATGATAAATAACAGTGGTAGAGAAGGAGAAAGGTTTTATGAAGCAAAATTATTGAAAATGCTATTATTAGTACAATATAAAATTGTATGGAACTAAAGGGGAGACTTGCAAATTAAATTATCTGTTGAAGTAGGAGTCATATCACAAAACTTACCCATGAAAGTTTTTTTTTTAAAGATTTTATTTATTTATTCATCAGACACACACACACATACACACACACACACACAGAGGCAGAGGGAGAAGCAGGCTCCCTGCGGGGAGCCCCACGTGGGACTCGATCCCGGGTCTCCAGGACCATGCCCTGGGCCAAAGGCAGGCGCTAAACCACTGAGCCACCCAGGCTGCCCTTCCCCATGAAATCTATAAAAGATCCTATATTCAATGTACCTTTAACTAGTCAACATGGAAAACCAAGCATGTAAAAACAAAAAAAAAAAGGGGGGGGGGACTTGTTTCACACACATTCCTATAATTCCTATCATTCAAAAGATTATTTCAGTTCACCATAAAATTCAAACCTGACATTATTTAATAATGCTAAATAAACACTTGTAAACCACCTAAATAGACAATACTCATTCCTATGGATTAAGCTGGGTGCCCAGGTTTTTTTCCCCGCTGATGGAAATACAGTAAAATGATAACAAGAAAACCCCATCCTCCTAGTTCATAGTGGTTTGCTTCAAAGAGAAGGGAGAATAAGGACTGGGAGGCACACGTGGGGAGTAGTACTAAGGTACTAGGAATGTTCCATTTTTTAATGCTTTTTCAGAGGTTCCTGTATGGCCCTCCCCAATCCTGTTCTCCCATTTATCTTTTATATATACTATACATTTTATGAACTGGCAAATACAATAAAGACAAATGTGGTAAATGCAGCATAAACAAAATCTCTGAATCAGTAACAAATACCGCATGAAGGGTCAAAAAGGTTTTGGGTAAAAGATGGAAAGAGAGTCAAATAGGTTTAACTCGAAGGAGAGCTTCAAATATCAGATTACAACAGCAATTACGAGAACAGGAACTCTTCAACAGATTACAGTAGCCAATTCAATGCAAATTTGAGTAACAAAATTTTAAATCCTTTCAGTTCTATCTTTACAGAATCTTATTTATGCTCTTACCTGTCCATGCTCCCTGGCCCTTCTTACGCCTTACCATGAAATACAAAATTAACCTCCTAACTAATCTTCCTGTTTCCATTCCACTTGATTTTATGCATAATGACAGGTCTCACCTGATTTCACTAAACCTTTTGTTGTGTACACTTCCCTGTTCCTTCCTCCATACTTTTGTTCATGTTGCTCCCTTGGGCTGAAGTGCTCCCCCTTCTGTATATGCCCCACTCATTCACTTAATTAACATTTGTTGGGCAACTACTATGCACAGAGCTCAGTTCTGGGCCTTGGGATACAGGTGAAATAGACAAGGTCCCTGTCATTACTAAGCTTCTGTTCCTCTGCCAGAGGGAGAAAAATAAGTAAATAAACTACTAATTGCAGATAGTGGGTTTTTGCCATTTAAACAAAAATAAGGGACACCTGGTTGGCTCAGCAGTTGACCATCTATCTGCCTTTGGCTCAGGGCAGATGTGATCCCAGATTGCTGGGATCAAGTCCTGCATCGGGCTTCTTGCATGGAGCCTGCTTCTCCTCCCTCTGCCTGTGTCTCTGCCTCTCTTTCTGTGTCTCATGAATAAATAAATAAAATCTTAAAAAATAATAAACAAAAATAGTTAGGTAATGTAATGAGGGTTAGGTGGTGCTACTTTTAAATAGGATAGTCTAGGGCAACCTGGGTGGCTCAGAGGTTTAGCGCCACCTTCAGCCCAGGGTGTAATACTGGAGACCCGGGATCAAGTCTCACGTTGGGCTCCCTGCATGGAGAGCCTGCTTCTCCCTCTGCCTGTGTCTCTGTCTCTGTCTCTCTCTCTCCCCCCGTGTCTCTCATGAATAAATAAATAAAATCTTAAAAAAAGAAACTTTAAACAAGCCAAAAACCAATGTGTGAAAAACATGATTTCAATAGTTTCAAATCACAGCACATAAAGTAACTTAAGAATAAGCTCTAAGGTTAATATAGTTATTGCAAGGTGTGAAAATCCATATGCCTTGCTTAACCAATAGTTATGCAAACTAATTCACCTGACTAAATGTTTCTGAACACTAGAGATTTTTTGTTTTTGTTAACTGCTCTGAATTGAACTATACAATACCTTAGATATTTTCCAAGAATGAAGCAGTTGGGCCAAACACTCTTAAGTTAAAACTTTTAAACTTTTATACCTAAAAGATGCTGAATATTAAACTCTATAAGAAGTTTGCAAGAATAATATTACTACGTAGAAAATGTGAAAGGTCTACTCATCATCAATCCAGGGAAGCTAACCAGAGTATTCTTATTGAATACGGATGGTGTCCATGGGTCAAGGCTAGAGATAATGACAGAATTTCTTTGTCTTTAAAAAAAAAAAAACCGGGATCCCTGGGTGGCGCAGTGGTTTAGCGCCTGCCTTTGGCCCGGGGCGTGGTCCTGGAGACCTGGGATCAGATCCCACGTCGGGCTCCCTGCATGGAGCCTGCTTCTCCCTCTGCCCGTGTCTCTGCCTCTCTCTCTCTCTCTCTCTGTGTGTGATTATCATGAATAAATAAATAAAATCTTTAAAAAAAATTAAAAAATAAAAAAAAAACAAAAGTAGATAGATGTTAAGTCATCTGCTAGCCGAATATATACTATTAAAATCTGCTTCATCATGTGTTAAGTTTTGAAGCACTATAAGCAAAAGGAATGACTAAATGAGAAGTGTATAGTTGGAAGAGAGACTGGCTGGCTCAGTAGAGCATGAGACTCTTGATCTTGGGATTATAACTTCAAGCCCCACATTGAGTACAGAGATTACTTTAAAAATAAAAAAATCTTTAAAACAAACAAAAGAAGTGTGTAGTTGGAATATTACTACTACTGACCTGAATCGTTTGAGATGTAGTCTGAGAACCTGAGGTAGGTGGCAAATCATAAGCTGTTTTTGTGCTTCTGTGAGTACAACTGATTTTGAAGAAAACCTTCTACGCTTTGCTGTGACATCAAAGACAGAATGAGAATCAAATTTAAAAATACAAAGAAATGCTGAGTAGACTTTAGATACTTTAGAAACATATTATACTGTGCTAGAGATAAAGACATGGCCTTGTTCTCAAAAAACTTGTAAGTACAAACACACACACAATTTAAGAGCTAGTTAGGCAGACAGACACATAAACAATTTAGTATCTGATTTAATATACTCCTACAAATAAGGCAACAGAATGATCTAGTGCTGTAATATTTAAAAATGAATTTGACTATTCCAATTAATAGAAAAAAGTTAAAACTTTCCCTAAACATACTTTAATATACCCTTCCCAAATTCTTTTAAATTACCACGGTCAGTTCATTTACTGAGGGAAATTGGAATCCCAGGGGGGTGGGCCCTTAATAGCTCAGAATACTCTTTCCTACTTCCTGATAAAGCAGTCCTCTTCCAGCTCAGAGCCTGAGGCCTCCCTCAGTGTCTTGCTTTTGCTATTTTCGTACCAGATCTTAAACAAGTGGCACTTGGGATTCTGTGTTGTTGTCTCTTCTGCTTCTCTAGAGGTCCACCTGAAGCTTCTGGCTGGGGCACTATTTACCAGAGCTTGCTCTGGACACCCAGGAGTGGTCCTTCAGCATATACAAGAGCTCTGATTCCAGCCACAGCAGCAGCTGCTTCTCCTAAGGTGGAATTAGTCTCCCAGGAGGCTGTCTTCTAAGCCATCTCCACCTGCCATAGGTATCCTGTCTTCCAGGTCTCTGTTCCTAAGATCCAGGTATCTCGTGCTGCTTAATGTCCTGGACCTACTTTTGGATCACCTCCCTGAATGTATGGCCTCAAATATGGCTATATACGTGATGTCAACTCCCTGACTTATAATTTTAAACATTTGCCTTTATGTATTAAATTATAACAGCTCTTATAGGACTTTAGTTGGTAAGCCCAGTAAACACATAAAACCATATTCTATATTCATTCATAATATCTTTCTATTCCCAGATTTGGTGATGAAGGCATCTAGAACCATTCACATTTATGTCCAAGAAAAAATTTACTTCATCATTCGAATTTGATAAAGGTTTTTTTCAAACATTATAAATCTTAGGCTACTTATCACAGAGTTCATATTAGACAGCACTCAGAAAATGTTAATAGAAGGCATTCTAAAAAAAAACCATCAATTGATGTGACATTTCTTCAGTGCTGCAACATCCAATATTTCTTTTATATTACCTTAGAAGTTTAGTATCTAAGACCCTAGGATCCTTTTTTTTCAAACATGGAAATTAGAGAACACCTGAATACCTGGTATACTAAGATACCACATGCATACTGATAGAGAAGATAAAGATACCAAAAAGACACAGCAGATCTGTCATAGTTTCATACACAATTTCTCTGGAGTTTGATGCTTTCCTTTAATTGAAATTACTATTTCAACCCCCCAGTGCTGGGTTCCTGGGTTCACCTCTAGTAGAAAATTTCTCATAATAGATCTTAATTGTCTGTTTCTTCCATTAGGTATGTGAGCACCTTGAAAGTGTTTTATTTCTATCCATAGCAATTAGAATAATAACGAATATAGAAGAGATAGCAGATGGTTTTTGACTAAATCTTTGTTTTTATGAAGCCAATCTCCATAGCAGCAGTCCAGCTATATATTTCCTTTAATATATATATATGCATATATATATATGCATATACACACTTATATACGTATATTATCTATATATCAAAAGGACTGTATAGATAGCAAAAGGACTCATAAAGCAAACATTTTATTTAGTACTAAATACCATGCTTTCCTTTTACTATTCCCTATTGCCTCTTTATTCTGCCTCACTTATTAAGTTCAAATTTCTTATTAATCTTTTCCATAATTGACTAGAGATCAAAAAAGTTTAAAGGTCATCAATAAGGGAAAACAAACACATAGTTCACCAGCGCCAATTATAAAGTAAAAATATCTACCCCAGTTTCTTTTCATGAACTAACAAAGTTTACTTCCATAACTGCTTTCAGGATATCTCTCAGCTTTCTCTCAATATAAAGTCTCTACTTACTGTTACAATGGTCACATACGTAGATTTTTCCTTCTAAAGCTTCAGTTTCTGTGAATTTGGCCAACATTTCTGTAACCAGACATGGCTGGGAAGCAATATCTTTTCCACTGCATTGGTATCTTTCTGGAAATTCCAGTGATAAGTCCCAGAAAGGTTCTATGGTATTTGATTTGTTGTCACATGCAAGACATGTAACCTGCAAATAAAAATATTAGTTCCTCAGATTACAATCCCATCAAAACATTTACTCCTTTCACTCTAGAGGTCACTCCCAGTAAATTAGCTTTTCTTCTGAAAATGCACCATCAAAATTCTGAGTAATCTGCTTTTTATATACTTACAGGAATTTTTTTCATTATTACAATTTTTCCTTTCGATGACTATCATTAAACTCATTATGTACTCCAAAGGCATTCATCAAATCTGAATGTAGGTAAACAAACACCTGTGGACTCATTTAATTAGGTATACATTGTGTGTGTGTGAAACTGATTTCCGGGCAGCCCTGGTGGTGCAATGATTTAGTGCTGCCTGCAGCCCAGGGTGTGTGATCCTGGAGACCCGGGATCGAGTCCCACGTATGGCTCCCTGCATGGAGCCTGCTTCTCCTTCTGCCTCTCTCTCTGTCTCTCATGAATAAATAAATTAAATCTTAAAAAAAAAAAAAAGAAACCGATTTACATGCATTTAATTTAATGTGTTTAAATTATTAGCCTTGTTTTTTGCCCTTTCTCCTTCCTCATCTTCCATTAATTTTCTCCCCCCAAATCCCTATAGCTTTTTAACCATGATACAAACAAAATACTATTTGTATATTTTTATATATACTGGATACCTACTAACTGATAATTTCAAAAGACAATACATTTAATGTAAATGATGTCATACTATCACTTAAAGCAAATGTCACTACATTAAAATCTTCATCAAATACAGGAACCACAAAGAACATGGGGCAGTTTTAACCAATGAAGCACTCAGCAGGATTTAATGCCAACAAACACTGCACAAAACTGAAGACAGACTCTATAGATCTAAGAATCCCTACATGATACGTTACTAAACTCTTTTATAAAAGCGAGGTTCCTGGAACAGGCAATGAAATAAAGAAGCCATGTCTAATGCAGATTCTAGATTTAACAAACTGACACAAAGAAAAGAATACTTTTGGTGTTTGGAGACTCACTGGGCGGGGATTTAACCTTTTGAGAACAGCTTCTTGAATAAAAAAAAAAAAAAAAAGAAGAAGCCATTCCAGGAACCAATCATCTGAATCTCCTTGGATGACTGGTTTCCAGTTTCCTAAGAGTTTATTATGTGTCTGAAAGGAAGAGAATAAAAATTATTATGCCAGTTTTTGGCTAATTTCAAGTCATCCGTAAAGGAAAAAATAAGCACACCAGCACCTTGCATTACTTGAAATAGAAAATAGTAACTTTCTGGAAAGAAATTTGTAGTCAAGTATCAAAAGTCTTAACTTCTGACACCAAGCAATTTTACTTCTAGGACTCTGTCTTAATGAAATTGCTAGAAAAAAATGTATTGTGACATTATAATAACAGAAAAAGTGGAAATAGTTTATAAGTCAACAATGCAGGAATGGGTAAATAAATTATGGTCTCTACATATAATAGACATTAACATGCTGTAAAAAGTGATCAAATATTTTAATGACCTTTACATTAATAATGAAAAAAAATCAGGTAAATTCATCATGACCACACAGAAGGAGAAAATATAAATGTACAGAAGATAGGGGCATGTGGGTGACTTGGTTAAAGTGCCTGACTCTCAGCTCAGGTCTTGATCTCGGGGTCTTGAGTTCAAGCCCCATGTTGGGCTCCACATGGAGTTTACTTAAAATAAATATAGAACTTTAAACAAAAAAATTTTAATCTACAGGAGAAGGAAAACCAGAGGATATATACCAAAATATTAATAGTTTTATGTGTGAGTTGTGGGGTTATGGGACAAGGGGATGATTTCTCTTTTACTGCATAGATTTAATGTATCATATAGGTTTTTTAGGAGTATAAATTACTTCTACTTATAATCGTTCATTTTAACTTTTTCAGTAGGCTCTGTGCCCAATGCAGGGCTTGAACTCATCACTCCAAGGATCAAGAGCCACGTGCTCTACTGACTAAGCCAGCCAGGCACTCCTATTAATAGTGCATTTTAAACTTCCGTATAAAAATGATGGAAAAATAAAATTGCATGCAACACAAGAAACAGCTCTTACTTGCTAAATGGCACAATGTAGAATATTTACATTGCTGAAACATTAAGTGGAATAAGTGTCACAGATAAACCCTAAGGAAAATTATATTTGAAATACTTAAACTACAGGGGCACCTGGCTGGCTCAGTCCAGAGCATGTGACTCTTGATTTCAGGTTTTGAGTTCAAGCCCCATGATGAGCTTTAAAAAAATTTTTTTAAAATATATTTAAGCTACATTCCAGAAAAGTATGCTATAGGTGGTATCATTACTGTGAAAGTTGAACTGAGGAGAAGAGGCAGGTGTGCAAGGGGAAAGAAATGACCTAACAGCCCAATTACCTAAAACAGAAAAAATTTTAAGCTCTATGCTATGGAAAAGTAGAGAGCCTTTTGCCTAGTAATAGTTTACCAATAAGTCCACTCATTACACAGAGCTATTAATTAGATATAAGTTTCTGGTTTCGTGATTCCTTTTCACAAGAAGGGGAACTTTTACAGCTGTAATTAAAATAAAGGAAAACCATTCAGGATTTTTCTCAATGAAATCGTTATTTATTTACTTTAAAATTTCCCTACCTATTTGTTAAAGTTTTCAGATCTTATACCCCTTTGGTTTTATAGAAAGTCCTCCAGGGCTACTTCTTGGATCCTGAGATTACTAAAATTCATTCCCAGTACAGCAGCATCTTCAAATCTATTCTCTGTGGAGTTAAACCCTCTCTTCTCAATCTCTCAGAAAATGAATTTAATATTAACCTAAGCGGCTGTTTCCTGATTCCCTCCCCCTGACACACACACACACAAAAACAAAAATAAAAAACATTGATATCATAGATGAAAAACTTTCAGTGATTCATGAAGGAAACCTGTAAATGAGTCAAACACTACGTGAGCCGACTTCTGAAAAAGCAATTTTTACCCAAAAAAAGTACTAGCTCTAACACTCTAGACATACAGAGAAAAGGTGTATTTTTAAGGCTTCATTTTACGAATTCCCCAAGATGAAAATGATATTTAAAAAAACCCATACCTGACTAAGAAGTTGTCCATGAAATATGTTATTCACAACATTCAGAACCTGTTTGATAAGTTTTCTTTGAGAAGTGGGGATAAGAGCTGGTAACCTAGTACCAGTTGTCTCTAGTTCATGTTGTATTTTATCCAAAAGTTCACAAAGAAATTCCTGAGCATCTTGTTGGGCATAACCACGAAAGGCTGGAATAAGTCTCCACACGGAGTGTAGCATAGCAAATGGTGAGACCAAGGCCCACTTTCCAGACCACATGACTTGGAACAAGGTATGCAATTCATGACAGAGAGAAATGTATTGTGAACTGGGCTCCCTTGGCTGAATAAGTTCCATATTTCTACTCTTGGATGCTCCACCACTTAGTCCTAAGGATAAACTTGGATGTCTGGAGAGAGAACTGCATGTATCTTTTTCCTGGCATTCATTCATTTGATATACTGCATCTGTGATTGGTGGATGCTTATAAGGTGATCTTGTCTTATCACCAGCTGTCACAGCCAGCCATCGGTTCAGATCAAGTTTTAAAAAACATTGCCGAAAAATAAGTAAATGACTCAACACTTGAAGAACAGAATTCATATAGCAAGTATTTCCCAAATTTCTCAATCCTGTTACACCAGGGGTTACTATTGGCCTTCGTTTACCTGAGGAGTCACTGGCTTTTTTTAATCTTACATCTTCTGAGGTAGATACTACTTTATCTTTTGCTGGTGATGCTGGGGTTTGTTGTGGAACTTGAACAGGAACTATTTCTACGGTAGTAGACTGAGCTAGACTTTGCAAACGTAAACTCTTTCTTGGATGTATATTTTCCAATTCTGCTTTAACTTGATACTCTAATTCTTGTTGTCTTTTCTTCACTTCTCTTTTTGCTATTTTTTCCTGAAATTGTTCCTCTTGCCGTTTTCTTCCAATGGGTGATTGTTCAAACCAAAATCGAAATATTTTACCCATCAATATCCTTCTCCTGTGCCACAGGGCAGTATACATTTGATCTTCATTTTGAAGGAGAGATTGGGTGCCATCAGGTAAGTAGTAAGTATCATCACTTGTACCCACAGACCGCAAAACCCTTCCACTACGAGTGGTGCACTGATAATTCTGACTTTTGATTGCACTTAACATACTTCGTAGCAACTTCAGGTCTCCAGTTGCATTATCATTTAGAACATAATCATCACAAAGATAACAAAAAACATACATCTCATTCACCTCCAATGCAACAGGATGACTGCTTTCTTGAAAGTGCTTGAGTGCATGTTCTTCAATATATCTTCCACAGGCAACATGAGAACAGCTAAGGCAAGCCCAAATTGACTCAGTTGTATTGCAGTCCACACAATGCCACTTCTGAGGGTTGAGGATGGAATGGTCTTGAGCAAGCTCCAACTGCCCAATGTGTTTGCACTTATCCATTGTTAACATTTATTTAGTCTAGCTGAGAAACACATAATCCAAACAAGTCTCTGTTCACGATACCTGAAGCATCTGAAAACTAAGCAGAACAATACCATTTTTAAATAAAAGAAACCAGTATCTTTCTTTTTTATAAGGTATTTTTCCAAGAATAATTTTATAAATTTGCTTCCTTTCCTCCCAATTTCTGGGCTGCCTGTCATAAACCACAGACAGTTCTCACTTTTCTCTTGCTCTGGAGGTCTCTAATCTCTCATCTGCCTTGCTCTGAGAGAACCACACACTTCACTTTATTTTCTCTAATGGGTTCCCTTTGAAAACCGTTTTTAATTTTCTGCCACCATCTACTGGTAAAGAATGGGTAGTGACCCCTTTTCAATGAACTAGAATAAGATCCATCCTCCTATGTAACAGTTGAGGGCAATTTATAAAACTACATTCCCTTTCTTAAAAATTGGAGCTGGCAGGACTCAAATAGATCTTACAAATATCCACATTTTGAGAGCCTTATCAACATAGTTATTAAAGCATAACCACAGTGTAAAAGCATGAGTTCTGAAATAAAAACTTAAGAGATAAGAATTCTACCTCTGCCACATACTGTCTGTCTGATTTGGGCAATTATTTTAACTTCTCTAAAATTCTTCTGTAAAACAGGGAAGAATCACATCAATTTCAATGAAGAATTGAGATAAAATATTTGTCTACCACATACTAAACACCCAATAAATTGTAGCTATAATGGCGGTTATAGGGCAGCCCGGGTGGCTCAGCAGTTTAGCGCTGCCTTCAGTGCCTTCAGCACAGTGTGATCCTGGAGACCCGGAATCAAGTCCCACGTCGGACTCCCTGCATGGAAGCCTGCTTCTCCCTCTGCCTGTGTCTCTGCCTCTCTCTCTGTGTTTCTCATGAATAAATAAATAAAATCTTAATATATTATATTAAGATAATATATAATATAATATAATATAATATATTATATTAAGATATTATATTATATAATATAATATATTATATTATTATATATATATAATGGCAGTTATAGTGAACAAAACTTAATATTCTATTTATTTAAATAAATCACAATATTCTACTTAATTACCATTTTAAATTTAGCTTTTTGCTAGTAAATCAATAATGACCTTCAATTTATGGCTTTATAACATACTTTTAATTTGACAGACTTTACAATTTGCCTTAGGGAGGGAGGAACACAAAAGAGGAGAATTGTGTTTGAATGGCCTCTTAGGAAAGTGCAAGGATACACAGGCAAAGAGAAAAAAGGAAGAATATGAAGTGGATGACAATATTATGAACTTTTACACTCTGGCAGGCCTACACACTATCTGAAATCATAAGCTCATTCTAAAAACAAAAACAAAACCCCCCCATCAAATAAAACAAATGAAACCTATATGGTTTTAACCCAGAAACATGTTCCTTTATCATAATAGAGTCAGGAATACTTACTTCTGCTACAAGTATCTAAAGATAGGGGCACCTGGCTGGCTCAGTTGGTGGACCACATGGCTCTTGACCTCTGGGTTTTGAGTTTGAGTCCTATGCTGGGTTAAGAGATTACTTAAAAATAAAATCTTTAAAAACAAAAATAAAACTAGTAAACTGAAATCTAGTTAAAAAGCAGGGATCACAAAATAGTTTCTTCACTGATTTAACGCAAATCAATCACAAATTTCAGGTCACAGGTGGAAACCTAGTTACAAAACACTCAGATCATTTTATGTAGCATGATCGATGCTTTAAATTTTTTAGGGCAGCAAGACAATATGAATTTCAGCAGTACTTGCAGATGCCACCTCCAGGGCTCTAAGAAAGCTACAGAGGTGAAGCTAATTTTGATTCCTTCCCACCTCTTTTTTTGTAAAATCTCCTAGCAAACAAAGAGCCCCTTTCCCTCCACTTAACTTTTTCAGATGCTGGGTGTATCCTGAATATGGACTTAAGGCTGACCAGTCCTAACCATTACATGTGCATACAAGAGCACATTTTAAGTTTATTTCTCTTTCTCCAAAATTTCCTAAAGTCCAAAAACTATTCAAATATAGCATCTTATTAGAACTGCTAGTATTCAACAATAATTGCTAATGGCAAAATTAAGACATCAGTGATTCTCCATTATCCTAAATCCTTCCAGGTACTGAAGCTAAATGCTCATTCTTGACTCTTCTTTCCCCACACCAATCCTTCAGGAAAAAATGGTTGGTTTTACCTTAAAAGTATATCTAGAACCTGACTACTTAGTACCTCCACTGCTCTCACCATGCCAAGCACAATCCAGTCTCACCTGGATTACTGCAATAAGGCTCCTTAAATGGTCTCCCCACTTTGATTCTTGCTGCCACCAAAAGTTTACACAGCTACAGCACACTCTGCCTTTGAACCCAAACCACCAGGGTCCAGACCTGACATTTTAGAGGGTCCCTGCTCTTTTAGGATGTGGTCACCAGCACACATCCCTAACTCCCCTTTTGGACTCATTCACCAGTACCTGGAACCTCAAAAATTCCCTGCCCCAATCATCCCCAAGCCTGCTTCCAGGGCCTGTGGGCAATAAAAAGCCACTGAAGAATTCTGAAGAATGACATGATCAGATACATAGGTTACAGATGGATCTGAAATGGCAGATCTAGAGACAGGGTGAGTGATTATAAGAAATTATTACTCCAGGGCAGCCCTGGTGGCGCAGCGGTTTGGCGCAGCCTGCAGCCTGGGGTGTGATACTGGAGACCTGGGATGGAGTCCCGTGTCGGGCTCCCTGCATAGAGCCTGCTTCTCTCCCTCTGCCTCTCTCTGTCTATGAATAAATAAATAAAATCTTAAAAAAAAAGGGAAATTATTACTCCAGCTTTATATGGAAATTAAAGCTGCAGCGGCATTGAAGCAAAGATGGGAGCAGAGGTAAATTAGTGTTACACACACATTGGCTGAAAGGACTTATCGAATATGGAGAGTAAGAGAAAAATCTAGGGCTCTCTTCTACTTTTATTTATCTTTTATTTTTTAAAAAGATTTTATTTATTTGAGAGAGAGTGAGAATGAAAGAGAGAGCACACAGGGAGAGGGAGAAGCAGATTCCCCCTCTGAGCAAAGAGTCTGACATGGGGCTCGATCCCAGGACCCTAGGATCATGACCTGAGATGAAGGCAGACACTTGACCAACTAAGCCACCCAGACACCCTTCTACTTTTATTTTTAAAAAGATCATATCGGGGGATCCCTGGGTGGCTCAGCAGTTTAGCGCCTGCCTTTGGCCCAGGGCGTGATCCTCAAGTCCTGGGATCGAGTCCTACATCAGGCTCCCTGCATGGAGCCTGCTTCTCCCTCTGCCTGTGTCTCTGCCTCTCTCTTTCTCTTTGTGTCTCTCATGAATAAATAAAATCTTTTAAAAAAATCATATAAAAATAAAATTAAAAGGATCATATAAAGAATACAGAGATAATTTAAACATTTATTTCTGGTAAGTTAGACAATAATTATTAGTTCAGCTTGAGATGAAGAGAGAAATGCCATTTATCTGCACTCAAGGGAAATTATTTCATTCCAAAAATGTTTTAAAGATTTGAGGGAGGGATCCCTGGGTGGCTCAGCGATTGGGCACCTGCCTTTGGCCCAGGGCGTGATCCTGGAGACCCTGGATCGAGTCCCACATCGGGCTCCCTGCATGGCTTCTCCCTCTGCCTGTGTCTCTGCCTTTCTCTCTCTCTCTCTCTGTCTCTCATGAATAAATAAAATCTTAAAAAATAAAATAAAATAAAGATTTGAGGGATGCCTAGGTGGCTCAGTGGTTGAGTGTCTGCCTTTGGCTCAGGGCATGATCCTGGAGTCCCCGGATTGAGTCTCATGTCAGTCTCGCTGCATGGAGCCTGCTTCTCCCTCTGCCTATGTCTCTGCCTCTCTCTCTTTGTGTCTCTCATGAATAAATAAATAAAATCTTTAAAAAAATTGTTTTCCTTTGAAAAAAAATTTTGAGAGAGAAGGAGCAAAAGAGAGAGCACAAGTGGGGGTGGGCAGAGGGATAAGTAGAAACAGACTCCCCGCTGAGCAGGATTTCCCAGACACAGGACACAGGGGTTCAATCCCAGACCCGGGCTGAAGGCAGAGGCTTAACTGACTAAGCCACCCAGGAGCCCCGCTTTCTAAATTTTAAAGGTGGTATGAGTTAACACTTTACACAAAATTCAGAGAAGACTCAAAAGAAAAAAAAACCCCTACAAAGTATATAGCCTCTTCTGGGGTTATTCATATTTTCAAATATCTAGAAATTATGAGCATATTACTTGTATAAATCTTAAGTAGGAATATATACATATTAGTGTATAATTTAGCCATATATATGTGCTAAATATAGCCTCTTTACTCCCTTTTCTATATTCTGCAAATACATGCCTAGATATTACTAAAAAAATCTATTTAGATGATAGTAAGACCTTCCGCACCCTTCAAATGATTCCATTCAATAAAAAGTCATGAAAAGGGTGAAATGATGATCAGATGCCATCTCTCTGGGAGGCAATATAGCAGTGGAGAGGTATCACAACAAAATGGTTAGAAAGCACACTCTGAAATCCAAAAGCCTCAATGTTAACATGTGGCTGTGTGCCTCAGACAAATTATTTATGCTCCACTCACCTCAGTTTTCTTATCTTTAAAATACAATAGTAAGAACACCAGCAGGGTTGTTGAGGGAATTTTATAAATGTATATGTATAAAGCTCCTAGAATAAACCCTGTCACTTAATTATGTGGCTCTCAGGACATGTTAGCTGACAATAGTACTGCTGCTGCTGCTGCTGCTACTGTAAATACACGTTTCCTTCTAGTTTTATCACTTTTAGCCAAGGGTTCATTCTTCTCACCCCAACTAAGGTGCTAGCTGGTAATTAAGATGTTTGCTGAGAACTAAGGTCTGATCTCTACCAGGGTATTTGCATTTTAAAAGAGGATCTCTTAAAGATAAAATCCTTTAAAAAATCCAAAAAAGTGAAAACCA